CACACACACACACACACTGTACCAGTAATACTGCCGTGTAGCCTACGCTGATTATGTAAATTCTGCCTGCCAGAGTTTAACCCACTAATTGATATGAAATGGATTTAACAGCATATCCCATGACGCCAGTCTTGAGAATATTTTGGTTATTTAAATTTTGTATGCTTTTGATGTTTATTTCAAAACTTGCTTTAACGTCAGTTGAGCTTAAGAAGTTCACGTTGGTCAGGCTTTGATTTAACACCTCATTCCTTATTCAGCCTGTTAAAACTCAGATGGATTTGTCTCACTAGGAATCTGAAGGCCGTTTGAAATCTGAAGAAGACCTGGTGTTCTGCAGCCACAGCTGCTTCCTTCTCTACTGTTCCTCATCACCACTGCAGTCTAGATCAGCCACAGAAACAAAGGTTTGTATCAGTGTAACACACACACAAGCACCACAGGGAATCCAAGATGAAGTTATGATGACTGACTTTGTTTTGCTTGTTGTCATTCCCCTTTTCTTCAGGAATCTGTGTCCCTTCTCCCTGCCTCAGAGCAAATCGAGAGCCTTTCTAAAGCTCAGCACCAGTACAGTAATAAAATGTCATCGCTGGACGTGCATTGCCTGGCCCAGCTTCAGCCCAAACAGTCTCCCCCTTCTACCCCTATCCCTTTCCCCACAGCAGGTGAGACACCAAAGATGGAGACTAAGTCTGACGCCATCAAAGTGACAGTGAAGCTGAAGGCCCGGCCAAGGTCCAATGACTGCTGGAACCAGGGAAAAAGACAGAAAGGACTCCGCTGGAGGAAGTGGACTGTCCAAGTAGTGATACCGAGAGGGAATTCCCAACTCCCAGATGAGGATAAGATTGATGAACTCCTCAAGAAACTCGGGGCCTCCCTGCGTCCCCCTGCTTCTCTGCAGGACCACAGACGTTGCTGTTTCTGCCACCAGTTTGGAGATGGGAACACCGATGGCCCTGCTAGGCTGCTTAATCTTGATCTCGATGTATGGGTTCACCTTAACTGTGCACTGTGGTCAACTGAGGTGTATGAAACCCAGGCTGGCGCCCTCATCAACGTGGAGCTTGCACTGCGTCGAGGTCAAGCGGTCCGCTGCGCTTACTGCCAGCAGACAGGAGCCACTAGTGGCTGCCACCGCCTACGCTGCACCAATGTCTACCATTTTACATGTGCCCTGCAAGCTCAGTGCACCTTCTTCAAGGACAAGACCATGCTATGTCACGCCCACAGGCCCCGGGGAACAGCAGGACAAGCACTTGAGCACGAGCTACGTTGCTTCGCTGTCTTTCGACGTGTCTACGTCCAAAGAGATGAAGTGCGTCAGATTGCCACTGCGGTGCAGCATCCCGAGTTAGGCTACACCTTTAGAGTTGGCAGCCTGGTGTTGCAGGCAATGGGTCAACTTACTCCTCTACAAATGGCAGCTTTCCATTCCACAACAGCCATCTTTCCAAACGGCTATGAGGCTTGCCGCATTTATTGGAGTATGCGCCATGGCAGCCACCGTTGCCGTTACATCTGCTCTGTTGAAGACAGCCAGGGACTGCCAGAGTTTACCATCAGAGTCATTGAACAGGGCTACCAAGACCTGGTCCTGACTGACACCTCTGCTAAAGGTTTGTTCTCACTGACACAAATTTATGTGTGTTCAGCTTCCAGAGCATCGTCTCTAACCCTCAAGTGTGCTTGTCTCACTGTAAATAGGAGTGTGGGACAAGGTTCTGGGTCCTGTTGCTGAGAAAAGAACTGAATCAGGTACTTTGAAGCTGTTCCCTATTTACCTGAAAGGAGAGGACCTGTTTGGCCTCACAGTCCCTGCAGTCACCAAGATCACCGAATCGGTTCGTAGCTGCTTTTTATGATTCTCAAAAAATTACATTCAAACAATTGTTCAGACCATATTTTGTAGAAACTGCAGCATATAACCAATTGTTTGTTCATTACTCATTTATATCAGCTCCCAGGAGTAGAGGCATGTGACAGGTACTCGTTCCGTTACGGACGTAACCCTCTCCTGGAGTTGCCTCTCGTGTTCAATCCAGCTGGCAGCGCCCGCGTCCAGCCAAGGACAAACGCCACCTACTCTTCTCTGGTCATAAGGTACCTTCGGTTGAAGTTGAAATCATTTGTCATCACAGGCTCTTGCAGCATTTCCCCGAATCATAATTTTTACAAAAAGATATTGTGATATTTCATTTTTCATTGCTGTTTTCATGATTTCCCTCTTTAATAAATGTAGGCCACAAGCACAGGCTGTATCCACCAGCAACGCCAGGTCTAACCAGAATGTGGCCCAAGGAGAAGGTGGCGCCCCCCATAGCAAGCCTCCAGTAGTGCACCCCAGGTCCTCTCAGTACCGCTGGATGAAGAGTGAGTGGAGAGCCAATGTCTATCTTGCCCGCTCCCGCATCCAGGTGAGTCTCAAAATAATGATAAATATAAAGTTTAATGTTTTTGCTATGATGGAGTGAAACTAATGCCCCTGAACTCTGGTGGACAACATGAACGGCTGAACATGTCATGTTTTCACAGGGTCTGGGGCTGTTTGCTGCCAGAGACATTGAAAAACAAACTATGATGATCGAGTACAATGGAACCATCCTCCGTAATGAGGTTGCCATCAGGAAGGAGAAGCTCTATAGATCTCAGGTATACATCTTATCTGTGCTGAAACAAATGCTGAAATTCCTTTTTGTTTAAAGTGACTTTTAACACCAAATAAATTATCTTTTATAGAACCGAGAAGTGTTCATGTTCCGCATCGACAGTGAACATATCGTTGATGCCACTCGAAACGGGGGGCTGGCAAGGTACAGTGGGATTCCATATTCCTCATCTGTGGTGCATGCATGAATTTTGAAGCTGTTTTCAATTGTAATGTAAACAGCACATGTAATGGACAAATTATTTACATCTTGATTGAAGTTCACAAAATAGAAGTTTTACTGTACAATGAAATATATCTGCTTATTTCATGCTCAGATTCTTTGCAAACTCTATATTTTTTAAATAAATCTCTTAAATTTTTCCCTATCAGATACATCAACCACTCTTGTGCTCCGAACTGTGTTGCTGAGGTGGTGACATTTGAAAGGGGTTACAAAATAATCATCAGCTGCGTTCGCAGGGTTGAAAAAGGCGAGGAGGTGAGTGTCACTTTTCTAAATAGAAGATAAAGTGTGTGACTGTGATGCTGAAAACTGACGTCTCTCTCTGTGTCCGCCAGCTTTGTTTCGACTACCAGTTTGACACCGCGGAGGTTCAGCACAAGATCGCCTGCCACTGTGGAGCTCCTGAATGCAGGAAGTGGATTAACTGAGAAAAACAACTGACAAAACCTAAATGCATTCCTTACTAAAGTGTGTGGATGCTGTGATCTCTGCACAGAGAGAGAAAAGGCTTCACATTGAAATCATTTTATGAACGAGCAGAAGGCCTGAACCCTCGGAGGAGACGAATGAATTTACACATCGGTTCATTAAGATCATGGGGGGGAAACATTGGTGGAGGAAGGGAAAACGTAAACACAGTAGCAGGATGTGACTCGTGCCATATGTGAGGGGCTCTGTTGTATGAGAGGCCTCTGTCTGTCTGTATGTATCTGTGTGTTTGCTCGGTGTACATGGGGTGCGGAATCCACCAGCGAATGAGAAAGCACTGTGCAGGGTGCGGCCTTATTGCTTACTAAGGGCAGGCCCTTTTGTTTCATACTGTTAATGTATACCGTATGACTAAATGTAGACATCACTGAATGAGGAATGTACAGCAATGAATAATGCGAAGGGAATATTAACTTGCACTAAAAAAAGAAAATAAACAAAAAAACAACACACACACACACACAAACTTTTAAAATACTTGATTCCATGAGTCAGTTTTATCATAGGTCTCTGTCATGTGATTTGTGTGGAATATGAGAGGTTTTGTATTTATTACTGAGTGAATGAATTTTATTCTCAACATGATGAGATTGAGTTGAAGAAGGCTAGATTGCTATTGTTTTTGAAGACTGAAGAAGACATGCTGTTACTTTTGTATAAATGTACATAAAGAAAACTATAGGAATAACCGACCAAATACTACCTTAACCTTCTCGATGTTTGGGTGTTTTTGAATTGTTTCTGTTTGTCATTGAAATTTATTTAAGATGGACGTTATTTCCGTTTGAGAGTATATATTATGATTATTCTGTACAGAATTTGTAATATAACCACAATAATTCACAAAGTATTTTTGTTGTATTAAAAGTAAGGTATTGTAGCGTATTGTTTTGTGACTTACACATACTTTGACCACTCAAAAAAAGAAATATTTTTGTTGACTAACGTAACAAGTTATCAGTTACAGAATCAAAGAAGAAAAAAATGACTTCAAATAGTGAGAGATCATTGTGGTCTGTTTGCTGTTAATCAGGTTTGATTTTAAAGAACTGTGAATTAGGTTTTGAAACCCAAAAAGGCAAACTTTTTAACTTTTTAACACGAATAGGAACACAAACATGTATTTATCTGTTTCTGTTTTTACTTTACTTTTAAAACAAGGTGCAAACGTCTGATGATGTTTTGAATTAGACGAGATTGGTGTGTGACAGAAAGAATGGGGGAACTCTTATTTGGAACCATGGCTTGTTCTGCCTTTTTTGGACAGAAATGGCATTCTCCTCAATCAGAAATATTTCTTATACCGACACTTCACAAGTCACATGCTTAGAAACGGAAGAGTTTTTGCGTGCACAATATCAAGTCGACTGTAAAATTTTGGAGACAGTCTTAGAACTTGTAATGTATATGGCATGTATTTTTTTAACTTTCCGAAGACTCAATTGTATATATTTTCTCAATGAATGGTTGTAACAAAATTGTTTCTTGATATTTTTCTTCTCTTGTATGATATTACATCATCCTGCCAGTGTGTTTGTGCTACATTTTCTTGGTCGTGTAAAGTAGTCAGATTTTTTTTTTCTGCCTTCCTTCTTTCCTCTCTTCCTTTCCTTCTTTCTTTTTTTGAAAATGCCTTTTGAAGTGTACAGAGTATGGAGTTTGTGGAATTGAATTTAGAAACATTTACAAAAATAAACTATTTTACATGTTACCATGTTGTGTGTATGGCTCACATATCTATCCATCAATAACTTACAGAAACAGCCAAGCAAGGCAAGGACACTTATTTACAGGACAAATGATATATACATTTATAATAGGTATGTTTAACAGAGCGTTTTTAAAAGTAAATGTTATTGTTAAGGAGTGTAAGCAAATGCTTTAGTGTCTTCTACTGATTTTGGCCTCTTTATAAAGCTACAACTAAAAATTGTTTTCGTTAGTAAATAGAATAGCACATACCTCCGCCAAGGCCACATAATCTAACCACACCAAAACATTAACATTCACGTGGCACATAAAAACTTAACCTCCTTGGTGCAAGTTGCAGTTGAATTTGCTCCACAAAATGTCTGATGATAGTGAAAATGAAATGAAATTATTTTTCAGAACTGGCATTTAGATTCTTTATTCCATAGGAGAAAAACATTAGATATACATGTGTATATATGGAAAGATACAGTTGGGCCTCTTCACTTTTCCCGACTAATGATAAACTAACCTAAGTTAGGCAGATCTAGGATTTTTCTAAATCAGACGCTATAAAGGGATCACAATCTACACAGAGGGGCCAATTACATGTCCAGCGTCCAGGCACAGCACCTGATTCAGTAAGGTGCATATTTAAGTCATTACAGTTTACTGTTTGCTCTATAGCTTTGAGCAAAGTCACACAACATTTTTCCTTGTTTGAGCACATTGTGTTCTTCAAAAAAGCTTAGAAAATATATAATCTTCACAAAATGTCATATATACTTCTTTTCCAGGTACAGTGTGTAAAATGTAGTGATATCTAGTGTTGAAGTTGCATGTTGCAGCTGAACACCCCTCAACTCACCCTCTCCTTCCAAACATGAAAAAGAAACTGTGGTAGCAGTGTCCAGTCTGGACTACTATAAAAAATATAGCGGCCTCCATAGAAAGAACCCCCTCGATGTAAATATACAGTATTTAAATATAAAGGGACTTTTCAGGGGTAAAGAAAAATACAATTCATACAATTTAGATGAAATGAACTAGTGAAAACATCATGAGGATAGTTCCCTTTCACCTAAATCTTACACACTGGACCTTTAATATAAGTGTTACATTTTAAGTATTTATGTTATTTTATAAGTAATGCCTAGTTGCTCTTCCTTCCTTCTTTCCTGCTACTACTACTACTAATACTAAGAAGAAGAAGAAGAAGAATAACAATAGCAATAATAATAATGTTGCTGTGTTTACGTTGTATTTGTTCCAGTTAAAATCTGTGTGGTACTGACATCTGTCGGTGAAGCCTCTGTGAACGTCAGACCTGCCCGGTGTTGTGGCATAATTGGCTTCCCCTGCAGAAACGTGTTTTTCTGGATGTGTGCCCTCGGCTTTGCCTGCTGTGGTTCTGTCTCCACACACGGAAATGAAGGGACAGAGAAGACGCAGAAGAAACGAGTAGCTTACGTTTTATTAACGACGCAGCTTCCTCGTAGAACAAACACGTGTTTAAGTATTGATGGTGTTTAACCAGGACAGATGAGGACGGAGGCAGTTCCGCTGCATCAGGTGGAGGGGACACACATTTCTCAGGGGGTACAGACTCCGGCGCGACTGTAAACAGCGCGTGTTGGAGACGCGTGCTCGTGCACTATCGCGTTAATGTTATTGTATTATTATTTATGCGTTTGTTGCATTTAAAAAACACCGTCACACCTTTTTTTAATATTTACGTGATTATTTAGAGTTTAAAAAAAATAAAAAAGCATCAGTCGTGACGAACATATAAATGATTTTAAACGTATGATCACTAATAATAATACAGTCTGTGTTGGTTAAAAAAAAAAAAAAAAAAAGTTAAATTACGATTACCCCGACACCACGTGAACGCGCAGTACTTCCTGGTGGACGGGGCCGCTGCTCCGTGGTGTCGTAGTAAGTGAAGGCGGCCGAGCAGAAGCTGCAGGCGGCTGAGGGGAAGCTGCAGGCGGCCTCAGCGGAGAGAAGCGGCGCTAGTTTAACGCGGCGTGTGAAGGTTCAGCCTCGGCTGGAGTAAACATGGGCAGCACCGTGATGGAGTCCAACAAGCAGAGCGCCAAGAAGACGCAGAAGAAGCGGAGGAGTCTGCGGATCAACATGCCAGTGAGTAGGTGGAGTAGCGACTGGTTGAGCTTCTCGCTGTTTCTGGGTTTTAAAAAACAAACAAGCGGAAAAAAAAAAAAAAAAAGCTTGATTTGTGGTTGAACTTTTTGTGGAATCAGACCCGCGACTTTTAGCTGTTTGTAGCCTGTGCTCGCACGTGACGCACTAGAGGCGTGTGTGATTGACAGGTGTCTCTTCAATAAATGTTTATTTCCCACAAGAATGTTTGTGGGAAATAAACACAAACTTAAAAACAGTCAACTGTATTTCTGGCCTGGAAAATATCGCGATTAAAAATGTTCGTATAAGTTGATATCGGTAAGTATCGCGATAGTTGTGATATTACTATTTCAGTTGTGGTTTGAAACTCTTCCTATGAGCAGAGAATGAGAAGCACTTGACCAACAGCAAAACATTTTATAAATCTGAGGTCCAGCAATTGTTTGTTGAGTATCACAAAATATGTTGTTGACTTTTGTTCTATTGTTACTGATTCAAATAATTATTGATATAGTGTTATCGCCCTGTCCAGTTTAATTGTATGTGTGGACACTAAGCTTCTGTAAACATTGTCAATATGTCCGACATTAACCCTTGAATGTGACGTCATTGTAGTGTTGGCGATTGTCAATATCGTTGACCCGACTGTTGAGGCTGAAACTGACATAATTATTCATTACTTTACTAATTTTCTCATTGATTTTCATCAGTAGCAATATAACAAAAGGCTCTGTATATCAATGTAATGCTAATTATACAAGCACAGTGAGGACGTATAACCCATAACTTATCCACCTCAGTCTGTGTATATGACCTGTTCAGTCAGAAACCTCAAGATATTCATTGATTTGAGCAGCAGGAAATCATTTTCTGCCATAACATTATCAATTATTATTAACCAACTAATCAGTAAGATCCCTGCAGCTTTAGTAAACAAATAAGGTTCTCTCTCTCTTTATATATATATGTATTGACATATTGTAAGGAAAAAGCAAACAACATGACCCAAAGAAAACATTTCAGAGGGACGACCTCGTCCAAACCAATGAGTCATGATTCATCACCGTCACTATACTTAGGATCTTGGTTTATTTGACTTCATTTCAGTCTGCAGCTCTGATTTACAATGGACTCTATTCATCAATGTGGGCAATTTGTGTCTGGGATTGTGTTTGTCTTTGCTCCACAAGCCTCCGAGCCTTGTGAACTGAATGGTATTACTGCACAGAAGAAGCTCTATTAAACACCCTGCTTTTCAAGGTTAAAACATCTCATGGGTATTGTGAGCACAGTTTGGTGGCAGCTAGTAGCATGATAGCAGCCCTCGTATATGTTGTATGTGTGTGTAATGTGTATTATGGATAGCATACATCAGATCCACCTATGGAAGCTTAATCTCACATTGACTTCATATGAACTGTCTTTCATATTCGATCTCACATTGTTCATTATAATATCTAAGATTTTTGTTTGAAATGTGTATTGACTTCCTTGCTTGGGAATGCAACACTGATTTTGTGGCCAACCCTCCCATGTTGGATGTTGGGAGTGTTCCTCCAGGGTGTGATCCTCCCCGACCTCAACCTGGTGGAATCACTAAAGCAGCTGTGTTGAAGTGTCACAATGCAAGATTCGCTCTCGGCTATGTGTTTAAAGTGGACTGCAGACACCTTAGCCTTGGTATGGGGAAGGAGTGTGTTGCATTGTCTTTCAAAAGTTCCTGCTGTGGCGAAACATGTTTATCTGCAGGCAGCACTAGAAGCACTATTACAATCAGAACTTTCCCTCAAAGTGATTAAAAAGAGCACTATTGTCAGTTTTGTCTTCGGGGGTGTTTTGGCTAGCTGGCATTCATGTTACCTGTTATGGCTTGCCGTTTTGTTTCTCTGCTCTATTTCCTGGAAGCCATCTTCATCCTTGACACCCAGCTCTTTGTTTTTCTGTGCAGGACTTTGGTGCATTTACTTCACCACAAGTGGAGATGAGCAGCTCGACAAAAAGTGGCGCTCAGACGGTACAGAAATTATTTTTGTGTCATCATTTACTTGCTAATTGTTTGTTTTCCTCATACTGTCTTCCTCCCCACACATGATTTACCTCGTCTGTTTGTCTTTCAGCACACTTAGACTTGGATTTAAGAGAGCAAAATATTACACAAGGCCGTCTCCTGCCAGGCCTCAGTTGCTTGCAGTAACATTACGCCCACTGTGTCCAGACATAGCGAGATCACATGCAGGAATACAGGAAATTGATTTTTCTAAAAGAAAGTAGCCTCTTCCTTCTGTCTACTCTAATTCATATAAATAGGATTAACCCTTCGCCTTTTACTCGGCGACAGTCGGTCACTCAATTGTGACGTTTGTTTTTTAAGAGCTGATTGACATCCAGACAAAAATCTGCTTGTTGCTTCACTTGCCTTGACAAGCTCTTGCACAATGACAGAGTGAGAGTTGTTGGCAAACAGAGGAGATGGGTGTGTGCACACTCCCTTAGATCTGTCACAGGATTGGTTTAAAAATGTGCGTGTGGAGGAGGACCAGCCCTTAAACAAATACCATCCCGGGGCGATGTCATGATTTCACTCTGTGATCAATGAAGAAGACGACCGCAACCTAATTCTCAGCTAATTGTAGTTATCATGGTATTTTATGAGGTAATAAGCTGCAACCAACAGAATGATTGTCTACTAGATCAGGGGTTCCCAAACTTATCAGCCTCTAACCTATAAAAATCACACACACACACTGTTTTTGGTCACAACAAGGTTATGGTTGGTGTTGTTGGTCCCGTTTATCCTCCTCCCAGCCTCTGACGTAGACGGCTCTTTCTTCAAAACCAGCGAAGACTTGGTTCCTCCCTGGAACCAGGTTTTTTTATGCCCGAGAGCCAGTTCTGTGGCTGGTGAAACACAAAGAACTTGTTTTAGTTTAGGCTCTGGGTCCGAATCGGCCCTGGAACTGTCTGGGTGGAATAGGGGCCTCATCAGTGTATCAAACAACTTTTAAAATTATTTTCATCCTGTATTGAAAATGGAAAAGAAAAAATACCTTGTATTTCTAGATTTTATAATGAAAATCAAATAGCCAATGGTTTCGTATTTTAATACCAGTTTCTGAAAGGAAAACTGAGTGATTCAAAAAGACCCATAACGATGCTCCCATTTGTTTTTGTAACATTGATGATTTATTTATTAATGTGTTTCCCTTCCTAGAGGTACAATGGTTCTTTTTGCACTTGCAGCTGATGCGTTTAGCTGAGTAGTTATTACTGTATACAGACTTTTACCTGCCGACACTGTTACCGAAACACTTGTGTTACATTTTACTGTTTGTGGTAAATATGAACCCTGAGCTACGGATCGGGGACATTTACAATGCTTCACTGTGTCAGAGCGCACAAATAGTTAATAGATTTGTTGATGGCATATCAGAGCAGGCTGTGGTGGGAGGAGGCTCTCAGTGTCTCCAGCTCAATTGTCTGACTTTTTTTGTTTTTTCTCTCTTGGTATCTGCACAGTCAATAAAGGAGGATTTATCTGCATGTTTACACGATACAGACCTCGAAAAGACAGAAAGACATAATAGAAAATAATGTCACTGATTGCCTGTTAGGTACACTGTTAAAAACCTGTGTTGAAGGTGATGTTGTTCACCGTGGTGGCCCATGAACGCACCACACAAACATAGGAGGAAATCCTATTTACAGGGAAAGGGGAAAATGCTGGATTTGTGTTTTTGTAATTTGTGTAAAGAATCATTTCAACGCTGAATTCATCACAAATTGTTGATATATATATTTTTTTTTTCAAACCAAACGGGTCATATCATCACACCTTCTGGCTGCACTATCACAGATCTTAATGAAATTCACATTTCTCATGAGCAACATGTGGAACTGAAATGTCATGTCTCTCGGATCACAGTTAAGGGAGATATGGGCCAATGAAGGATGAACTTTTTGGGAAGATTCTGGGATTTTGTTTGATCATATCTCCTTTAATATGGGTCGTAGAGAAATGGTTATCTTATCATTTCAAAGCTCTTTAAGATCATTAAGATTTTAAGATCATTTTAAGGTCATTAAGATTCATTGAGTCCTGCGGCGGTGCAGCACAAAGATTTGACGATTTCACTCGAAATGACCCAGGTGGAAACTCTTGTGTCACAAACGTCTTTGGTTAAGAAAGACAGCGAATCAATATCGTTGGTTTTTCAGTAACTTTTATCTCCTTTCGTTGTTTAGAAACTAGATCATAAACAAACCTCCTCTGACTTTGCTCCCAGTTCTGTTGCAATGTAGCTGAATGTAAAAAAAAACGTGTGAAAAAGGAGAAGTGAACAGAATAGGAGCCGCATCCATGAAAAGTGCAATTAGTTGCTTTCATTTCATAATAAATCTCTTAACAACTGCTCATTCAGCGAGGCCGTATGTTTTGGAATCATTATAGATCTGTTTGCCTAAATCTGCCTCCTCACTCTTTCCATCAGGGAGAGCGTCTCATTCGCTCAGCGAGCCCCAACACAGGAGTGTCTGCCAGGAGCCCGGCCAGCACCCCGCTGCCACCATGCCCTCAGTCTGCTCCAGTGCAATCGAAGATGAGCTCCGGTTCACCCAGAACCATCTTCCCCTACCCCAGCCACCAGAGCTCCCCGCCCAAGTCTCCCCGCCGCTTAAGCTTCAGTGGTATCTTCCGCTCGTCGTCCGGCTCAACACCTACAAGCATCAAGATCTTCTCTAGAACCAGAAGAGGTGAGTGGAAGATCACATTGCATTGACTGCCCAATCATGATGAACTCTCAGCTCGATGGAAACAGAGAGAAACTGCTGTAACAGCATTTAGGGAATCTGCTTCAATTGTCTGACAATTTACACATTCTAGTTAGAAAAAGAATAATTTGGAACGTGTATAAAACCTGACTGAGCTTATGAGATCAGATAAATGGCTGCGTTTGATAGAGCTCACATACCAACACATCATGTTGAACTTTTACAGTTGATCACATTGATCGTTGTAAACCCACTGCTTTATTTTTTGGTTTCCTACAAGCCAACATGGTTTAGATCCACGTCAGACAGATGGACGATTGCTGAGTGCAGACAGATGTTCCTTCATTATCATTTAACTTATTGATGTGAGTAACTTTATCCGAGACAAGGAAATGATTGGTTTTGTTTATTTTAAAAATCGAAGAGGGTTTTTTTTCATTGCTCAATTCCTCGCATCGAGCACTGCACTGCAGATCCAGTTTGATAGATTGAGTTACAGATTCGATGTCCCTCAGATGGGCATACAGCCATAGTACGTATCACTATTAAAACTCAGTTCCAAAATAATAGGAGAAATGTTGTGTTTTAGGAAGTGGAAATGAAACAAGGAAGAAAAAGGGGCCTTGTTTTCTCAGGAACAGGCCAATCAGGCAGATTTTCAGCTCTCCGTGTATTGTTGGGTGGATGATCATTACACAACAAAAACCAGCCTGTTCCACATGGCAACAGCCCCGTCCGGCCTCCACCAGGATGAGTCATATGTTTTTGGCCTCGTACACGCACTCATTCTTCACTGTTTCCTCGTGGAGTGTCGGTTTGGCAGTATTTAGTGGAATAGCTCTGTGAGGGCCAGGCCTCAAGCGTCAGCACACTCTGTCTACTCTGGAGATGATGGAAACCAAAGTAAAACACACCGACGCACACCAATGTGTGTACGGCCTTCTGCTGCCAGCTGCTCAGGATTACTAGTGACTGATGTGGTTTTGGACCAAACGTCTTCTCCAGTGGTTCACTGACTAATGATGTAGCTCTGAAGTGAATGGTGGCCAATGATCACATCAACAATCTATAAATGAATATCACACAGAAACAGAGAACAGCCCTTCTATTTTTTATTAGTGGGGTGTTTTTGTAGACACCCCAGTTTCACCACAAGGGTGTGCTGAAAGCATAATCTTGATTTATAAATTGGTTTCAATATTTTTACAAACTACATTTTCACTTTTTTAATGTAAACAGGGGAGTTTTAGCTGACTTTTGCATATTATTCATGGATTATTGATTTTCACTCAGGTGCATTCACAACAACAATAATACAAATTATTATACTAATTAAATAATAAATAACTATCATGATAACAAAAATAATAATACACTTAAATTCTACATTTCTAACCTTTTAAAACACTGCTACAGGGCACATATGCAGAAGTGAAAAATGTTATAGATGAGAACAGATTAAAAACAAGATCAAATAAAACATTATAAAGTGATTGAATTATACGGTGAGATCAGTCCTAGGAGAAAGCACACCTACAAAAATGTGTGTTAAAGAGAGATTTAAAAGAGCATAAGGAGTTTCCCAGATGGATCTCCTCAGGGAAAGAGACACCAGAGAGCCCTGACACAAAAGGCTCTTTGTCTTTATATTTGCTACAAATATGATAAGGATGCTGTTTAGCTGTTCTAAATATGAGTTTTCCTATCCCCTGGACATTGTCAGTCTCTCTCTGCTGAATGTAGAGCTCTCATATCCTTATCTGGAAGTGACCGGACTCTCAGGAGCTCCTCACACAACCGTGCAAGTTTTTTTTTTTTCTTTTTTTTTTTTTTCCCCCCTCTCTCTGTTGCTACTGTGTTCTGTATGTTGTCAGTAAATAAAGGAACTGGGCAGTTTTGACGCAGTCCATACAAGGCCAGGGTGATTTTATATATATTTTTTGTCTAAGCTGGGGCAGAGCTTAACAAAACGCACCTTGAAGACATGGATGTGTTTTTGTAACCCTAAACAGTATCTGAAATCCTCTTAGATCTGAAACCTAGCAACCACCAATGCAAATGGAAGCACGGCGAGTATCACAGGATATTTGAGGTGAGCGGTTTCGTCACTGATATCTCAACTCCCCTAACTCATATTGGGCCATTGACCCACTGAGCAGACGGGAACACTTGCATAACATGTTAATTGAGATCTGTGCTGGACATGCTGTAGCTAATGTGAGCAGCAAAGTGCAGAGAGGGCCATCTGTTGAGGGCAGGGGAGGCGAGCGGTATTGAATGGAAGCTCTCTGATCAGCTGACAGAACATGGGATGTCCCCTCGCTGTCATCTGATGGGGGGGGCTGGCCTCTGCAGTCTTAAAGGTCAGGCCCCCAAAAGTCACGGACAGCTGACTGTACAAATGACGGAGCTGCAGGATTACCTGCCACGACTGCCAAAACCCCTCAGCAATTTATTTGTAATCCGTGATAATGGCTTGGCTCTGAATATAAGAAGAATTGAAAGTAGAGGAGTTTTTTTTTCAATTATTAATTCTTTCAGGGGAAACTTTGAATTTTACATTGTGTGAAGACGGAGAGAGACGGATGTGCTTGTGCTGTTTTTACTCTGGGGGAGGGAAAAGAGGGTGGGCAGCAGAAGACATGGGGGTGGGGAATCGTGCAGCCCCAGCCAATCGCTGGCGTAACCTTCACAGACTGGCCTCCTTTTACAGGCTGCTGACACGGGTGCTATATTAAAGAGATGCCACCCACAGCTGCACCTGACAGTCTAAAGCACTGACACTGCTGAGCGAGAGAGGGTGGGGGGGGGAGAAATGCTCTGCTCTGCCCCAGTTGTTATTTGGATCACTCACGAGCGGGACATTTCTCTGCTGCGGCTGTGTGGAATTTACAGCTTTCATTCTCTCTCAGAGTCTTTTCATACAGTACACTGCTTCCTGCTGCCTCTGCACTCTCTGGCCCGGCAGGAGGTTTTTTTCTTGAACATGCAAGCTTAGTGGTTGTCATATTCTGTTCCTAACCAAAACTGCTGTTTCAAAGAAAAAGTGAAGGTTTATGGAATAGCCGAATCATTTTTTCTCCTGAGGATTTATGTGAAATTAAGGACAATCACATGCCAGCTTCCAACTTTCTTGAAAGGACCAAACAGCCAAAGACAAACCACTCTGTCATTCTTGTGACTCATCTTAAGAGCCATCAGTTTTTGGATTTACTGCACACCGCCATTTCTGAACAACTTCCTCCGCTCGGAAATGGAGTGACTCTCCCTTCGAGCCGTCTCTGTGCCCCTTCTCGTGATGGTCAGATTCAGTTTTGAGTGCACAACCCGCTGTGTTCCATGAAGAGGTTTGGCAGCCTGAGGAGGAGCAAGAAGCGCAAGGAGCAAGATGGGTTAGGAGGGAGGCATCAGTCCGAGGCATCTTGTCTGTCGGGTAACCTGCTGTGCTTTTAGCCTTTATCTTGACAGTTTGCTTCATTCATCACCTGTTAATCTGGGGTTCAGATCTTTTAACAGCAACGTCTGCAGTTTTCCCTCTGCAGTCTGATAGTGCAGCTTTTTAACAACATTATGTTTAAAAGGTTTCATCAACAAACAAAGGGATGGCATCTTGAACATTGAGCTGAGGTCTAATGAGCCATAAGTGAAATAACTGTGTGGGCGTGCAGAGCCTTTCATTGTTGTTAATCAATGTTTGTTGTAGCCTCGGCTGCTCCATATAGTTTAGGTGTTGGTTACGTGGCTGGTGTAAAGTGACAGGCGACAGGCAGCCGGCCAAGTGGTAAAACTCTGCATGAGAGGTTTGCCATCACTTTGCTAAATGAATAACTATAGATGCATTCAAATCACTGCATATATCAAGCAATGTGCTTCATGCATCGCACTTAAAAATAAAATATTGCAGTTATTTAAATGCTGCAGCTGCAAAGTTAAAGTATTATTCTAGTCTTGTTACATTATACAGAATCTGAATGAACATGTCATTTAGTTTATTTTGTAGTAATACTCGCGTTGGAGTAATTTATAGCCACAAGATTTGGTACATGTGAGTTCAGTGTCATTATTCTGTCCCATATCCAAAGGGAGTCTGTTCAGAATAGCTGCTCCATTTAAAAAAAAAAAAACTTTATTAAAATAGACAGGAAGCGTTCCAGACCAACCACTAACACCTTGAATATTACAATAGATTTTTCTCTGGTCTTAATCAGAAAACCCTGAAACGATAGCAGTCTGTACAAAATTCAGCAGCTCAGCTTTTCACTACAACTAAGATATATGATTACATCACACTTGTTTTATTGTTTTTACATTTCCTCCCTGTTTATTTCAGGATTGATTTTTAAATTTACTTTTAAGGCTCTTCATGGCCTGCCCTAAGACTATACCTCTTATCTTTTAATTCCATATTTACTTCTGCACGGCCCCAAGGCTCTGGAATGAACTGCCTGGAATTAAGACTGTCTGATATGGTCTAGGTTAAAAACTTTTTCTGGTGTATTCCTAAATTTACTTGGGGTGCCAGGTTATTATTGTTCTACTATTATTATTACCATTATTATTTATGTAGTTCCTTGTGTATTTTAACCATTTGTTTCCTGTTGTGTAGCACTTTGTGTCGTTTAAAGTTATTATTACTGTTATCAGGAACAGTGACAGAAAACACAGATTCTAACAGAAAAGTCCCAACCACCAGAATAACTGGTTATTGTAAAGTGTTGGCTTGATGGGTGAAGCGCTGGGACGCGGTGTGAGGCGTTCAAGTGGCACTTTATCACAGTCTTCACAGCTCCTGATTTAGAGCTGCTCTGACCTCGGTGGAGTAGATGAGAGGAGCAGGGTCCTGTCATAGTGATGCACGTCTATATGTGGCTGTATAAGATGTATGGTTTATTGTAAAGCAATATACGGCCAGGTGACACCTTCGCTTAAATCATCAGTCCTCTGATCCAGAGCCTCTGTATACCACGAAGGCTGCAGCCATGTTGCTTATACTGCTCCCACACTTTTAGAGAAGCTGA